CGAAACGTTTCTAGATTTTTTTGCTTTGTTTTGTTTTTGTTTTTTTTTGAATGTCCAGAGGACCAGATTGAACTTTTTTGGATTTTTCTACCTGGATTATTGAGCATGCATCAGGATATTGTGTTAGTAGTATTCTGTTAGCTGTATTGTGTTAGTAGTATTCTGTTAGCTGTATTGTGTTAGTAGTATTCTGTTAGTAGTATTCTGTCAGCTGCATTGTTAGCTGTATTCTGTTAGCTGTATTGTATTAGTAGTATTGCAATAGTAGTACTGTACTGTTAGCTGTATTGTTTGCTGTATTGTGTCAATAGTATTGTGATAGTAGCATTGTGTTAGCTGCATCGTGTTAGCAGTACTGTGTCAGCAGTGTCAGTGTTAAATCACAGTTTCAGTATAAAGTGTACTTGTGCTGGCTCATACCATGAGACCACTGGTTGCAAGTTCTGGAAGTGTCAAAGAAGCAGGAGTGGTGAGGCGGTTCCGTGCTCGTGTCAGCTGCAGCATCACTGCATCCATGAGCTGCAGCATCAGCAGAAACACATCAGAGAGGCTTCTTAGCCACATGCCGCTCTGAAAGGACTGAGGGTCACCAACCTTGTTGACCTCAGCCCCGGTCTTGAACTGGTAGCTCTCATCGTGGCTGCAGAGCAGCTGCAGAGCCTGATTCACATGGTTCCTGGCATCCTGGATCTTAGGGACAGAGAAAAGGTGAAACTGATTCAGATCAGTCGGAACGATGCAGTTCAAAATATTTGACAATAAGTAGTTTGTTTTAAAGAAAATAGAAATACACAAACACCCACCAAGAACATCTCCTATACTGATGTTTTGATTTACATAAACCAAGAAACAACTACAGAAAAAAACTAAAACCCCCAAATTCCTTCAAGCAATGCCACAGGTTGTTGTTTTGTAGTTAGAGTTGACTGAATCAGCTCGTAACATTAAGTTTGTGAAGATTAGTGCATAATCTAAAAGCACAGTCCTTTTTATACAACTTGTTTTTCCAATGCAGCGTAACAAAGGGCAGAGCCACAGAAAGACGAACACTGGGATGGTCTATGCTGAGGAGGTGAAAAATGGGTGCCCCTAGTTTATGTCAAAATGGTGGAAGACCATCAATTAAAAAAAAAAAAAACCACTACACTTAGCTAAAGGTCCAATGTTTGTTATAATTATTGGATCCAGCATTTCAAAGAACTAGGCATCATCGTCAAGTATTAGCCCGATTAGCTCAAAAATTATTTTGTCCGTCTTTATTTTTGCACTTACTGACAGAAAATAGTTCATAAATCCAAAAACATTTGTGCTACAGTGACAGATTCCATATCGAGGTAACACACAGGTAACTTTGCATCTTACAGAAACATGAGTGACTAGAACAGCAAGCATTTATGACCAGGGTCCAACATGCGTGTTGTATGTTAACCTGGATAATCTCATCCCAGGCACCACATCTCCCTGCCGTACCACACTTGTAGCATGTACTGTATATCTACACACCTACTGTTAACCAAGGAGGGCACCCCGCCCTGCCAACAGAAACCAGTGTCCTGCCTAATACAAACCGGATTTCAAAAAAAGTTGGGACACTAAACAAATTGTGAATAAAAACTGAATGCAATGATGTGGAGGTGCCAACATCTAATATTTTATTCAGAATAGAACAAACCACCGATCAAAAGTTTAAACTGAGAGAATGTATCATTTTAAGGGAAAAATCTGTTGTTTCCAAATTTCATGGCGTCAACAAATCCCCCAAAAGTTGGGACAAGTCCATTTTTACCACTGTGTGGCATCCCCCCTTCTTCTTACAACACTCAACAGACGTCTGGGGACAGAGGAGACCAGTTTCTCCAGTTTAGAAATAGGAATGCTCTCCCATTCATGTCTAATACAGGCCTCTAACTGTTCAATCGTCTTGGGCCTTCTTTGTCGCACCTTCCTCTTTATGATGCGCCAAATGTTCTCTATAGGTGAAAGATCTGGACTGCAGGCTGGCCATTTCAGTACCCGGATCCTTCTTCTACGTAGCCATGATGTTGTGATTGCTGCAGAATGTGGTCTGGCATTATCGTGTTGAAAAACAATATTGATCATGATATCGGAACTGGATCAGTATCGGCCGATATTCAGATTTAGGTATCGGGATCGGATCGGATCAGAACTTAAAAAAAGTGGATCCGTGCATCCCAAATTCCAAGCAACGTTTAGCTAAACACAAAGTATTTTCTCTGCACTGCTGTCATGTCTAAGGTCATTTTCACACCAGATAGTCCGGTAGACTCGGTTCGGGACCAATATTCATGACATTTTGTTTACATTTGAGCTGGTGTGTTTGCATTCACACTGCACTGTGCAGTCGAGTCAACCTGTTGAACCAACCTATTCCCCCATCTCGCCTGTGGGGGCGCTGCACCAAGAACTACTGAAAGAAACGACACAAAAACCTCTGAAGACACGTCTTCTTTTGTAAATAAAAATAAAAACGAAGTGGCATCAAGTTTTGGCAGTTTTAGGAGTTATATTTTGTCATTTTTCAAAAATGGACTTAGCATGAGCAGAATATGAGACAGAAGACCATGGAGAATATTGTTTCCACACAAGGCAGCTGACGGCTCCATATAAGGTCAGAGAAAAGCGTGTTTGTTTACCCTACGGAGCGGGGCCCGTCTGTTTACATTCACACTGTACTCGAACCGCGCTGGAGTTCTCTTCTACTGGACCGAGACCTAGGTTTTAGCCCGGGCCAGAGTTCGCCTTTTTGTTCCGTGACAGAGTTCGATGGCGTGTTCACACCTCCCTAAATGAGCCAGACTTTCAAGGAAAACGAGCTAGAGTTCGATTAAAGCGGACTAAACAGGGCTGGTGTGAATGCACCCTAAATGTTGTTGACAGAAATGGTTTCAGAACCTCAAAGCTGAAGAAAATGTGATGTTCCACATGAAGGAAGTGAAAAAGTGTTTTGGTCTAAATGAGGTGTTGAAGTGAAGGGAACTGTCACACCAGAGGTTCTAGAGTTGTGTACCTGCTGCAGTTTCCACTGCTTGTCTTCTCTGAACTGGAAGTGCAGGACCTGGCTGCTCTTTGCAATCTTCAGATTGATGTCCTGTTGGGAACAGAAAGATGCTGTTCATCAATAATCTTTTTCCTGTTGTTCTCAAAGGGCATTGATGAGAGCAGACTCACCGCTTGTGTCAGAACCTCTCCCTGCAGCGTCAGCACCCCCTTCACCTGATCCATGCTGCACATGCACAAATCACACTTTGACTTTAACATGGCCGACAGAACGACGAGACAGAACACGAGAACATTTAGAGCAGAGCCGAGTCAGCAGAACCCCACGTTCAGAAGCAGACAGAACACAATGTTGAATGCCCTGTGTTAACAAAATATTTCATGATGTGGTGGACAGATGTAATGAAACTTTCAGAAGGTAATGATCAGGTGTGCACCTACAACTTATTGAACTCAGTACAGCTGCGTGACATCAGCACCAAATTATCCAGTCACTTTTACACATACGGAGCTAAAATCTGCAGTGGTAGTAGCTGGGGATAATATCCAAAACATATTACGAGTACCACACACTGTGCAGTATTTTATTTCAAACTTTGGCAATACCTGTTGCTGTAAAGTTTTTTTGTTAGCAAAATATGTCCTGAACACTGTACGCTACGACTAATGTTCTCTGTGAGACACTAAACTGGAGCTGAACATCAAGAGGAGCTGGACTCAGGTGAGACAAGAGGAGCTGGACTCAGGTGAGACAAGAGGAGTTGGACTTTTATATTATATATTTTTATATAATATAATATCTGAGTATTACGTTGAGCTGCCGAGGATGAAGTTCTCCTGCTTGAGCTGAGGTTCCAGGCCCGGAGTGGGCATAGAGAAACGTCGAGACGCCTCCTGTAACCAACAGAGCACAACATTACTTCACTCCTGCCAACACCTCTTGATTTCTAAAGCACTTAAAATACAACATAGCAGCCGAATGAAGTGCTGTGCATAAATAAAAACAGAACAACACAAGACAACTATAAGAAAATAGAAAAACATGACAAGTAAAAGAGTGCAACATTAAGACAGATGCTAGCTCACTGTAGGTTCAAAGCCAAAGACAAAAAAAGTGTTTTTAAACGAGTTTTAAAAACAGGAAGTGATGCTAATGATGTGACATCAGCTACAAGTGGAAACAAACGTGTTTCGTGAATGCAGCGACTTGCTGAAGCTTACAGTTTCCTCAGCTGAAACGTGGCGTCAGGCTACTGTACGAAACCTTCACACACAGTAGAACTAGAAGAAGTCTAGAAATATTATCTTTCACACTTCTTCTAGTTTGTTTGCTTATGCTAAATGTTGCTTTTGTCTATTGTTTTGCCACTTTTAGAGACTGTTTTGCTAATATTACAATTTAGTTACAGCGTAGCTAATTTAGTTTTTAACTACTGTTGTGCTAATTGTAGCTTTTTGCTACTATTTTAATCATTTTGTTTTATTAGCAGCAGTTACAGCAGTCCTTCTCAAATAGTGGGGCGCGCCCCCCTGGGGGGGCCCGGAGCAATGCCAGGGGGGGCACATGTGACCCTGGGGAACACTGAGGCAGGGATTAGGGTTTTTTTCCCACCATTCTCATTGTGTCAGGGTGCGTTCAGCAACTGTTCGCTAAAATCTGTCAACTCTCAGTCTGACTAATAATAAAGTAATGAACAAATATGTCTGTCTTGTCGTTTGGGGAGCCGTGCTTGTGTCGCTGTGACACCTCCTCTGCTGGTGACGCTCTGGATGCATTTCACCCACAGCACGCAGCAACAAAGAGTATAAACTCAAAGCAAGAGCAACACCTGCCCCCTCTTTCTTCTTTTGCGTTGACAAAATTTTTTAGTTTTATCTATTGTCAAAGCACAAGTTTGATGTTTTTTTAATTTGTTATAAAAACAGAAGTTTAACAAATGTTAGGACTCTATTCTTTGCTAACAAAATATATTATATGTCACTAAACAACTTGTCAGGTTCTTCTCTTGTGCACATTCTCTTACTTCCCATACTTTTACCACCACAAATATGTAATATTGGATCATTTTCCTCAATAAATAAATGACCAAGTATAATATTTTGTCTCTTTAGTTTAACTGGGTTCTCTTTATCTACTTTTAGGACTTGTGTGAAAATCTGAAGATGTTTTAGGTCATATTGATGTAGAAATATAGAAAAATATAAAGAGTTCACAAACTTCAAACACCACTGTAGGTCTCCATACTCAGGAACTAATGAGCAGATCTTCTGGTGAACACGCCATATGATGTCCCTCCTCTCTGAGGGACTTGAATAGTGAATGTTTGTAGTTTTGGAGATAAGTGTTTTTCTGGACTGGAACTGAACTGGGATGTCAGCAAGCCTTAATGTTTTTGCTGCAAGACATTCAAGTGGGAAGGAGTTACACTGTGGAGAAGAACAGAAGTAGATCTTTTTTTTTCTTATCCAAGGCAGCACAGAAAGATGGATCCTGGAGACATTTTATCCACCACCAGGTGCAGTGGAGGAGCCAAGGAGTAGCCAATGGTGGCCTTGACCAACATAGATTAATCTTCAGCCACCCCAATCATTTTAGGAAAATATACTTATAATCAAAATAAAAAATAAAAAGCAGTTTTCTAAAATGATCAGGGTGGTTGGTATATATACAGCAGTTCCTCGCTACTTTGCGGTTCCACTTTTGCGGACTCGCTCTTTTGTAGTTTTTCAAAGTACAGTACTGTAAGACTGTACATGACAAAAAAAAAAGTGCCACTTTGTAGTTTTCTCAATAAACCTATTGCCAGTCTAAAGGACTACGTTACCCAGGAGGCAAAGTTACTTTCTGCTGGAGGGAAAGTTTTGATCTAATCCGAAAATATCGGTCCTTACAGTATTCAGTGACTTCAGCGCTGAGTGGGCTGATCAGAATCAGACCAAGGCTGTGTAGGTCTGCCGAACTGGACCTGAGCCAGACCAGAACCGAGCTGTGTTCTGCAGAGCTGCTGAGTAAAAAGGTATTACTACTCACTCAACTTAAATTTTCAAGTTGAGTGAATAAACATCAAGTCTCTTGATTAATAAACTGTTACTAAATAAATTTTTGCCGTATTTGATTTAAATTTATTATTTGACTGAACTGTTTTAGTTTGTTGTTTCAACTCAGAAATCTGTGTCAATTCTACTTTGCAGATTTTCACTTATTGCCGGGGGGGGTGGGGTCCAGAACGTAACCGCGCCACCCCATGGAGAGACGGACATTGGATATTTGTGATTCCCCTTATTCGCTCTGCGATTAAAAACCTGTGAATATCCTTTTAACAAGGAGTGGACTGAAGTCCAGAGAAGCTTTCTTACCTTCAGGACATCCTGCAGCTGCTTCAGGACAGCATGGACTTCTTCCTTCAGCAGCCAGTTGAATTCCTCCTCCTAACAATCACAAGTAACACAAACATGGTGTTACTAACAACTTCTGCAGAACAGCTGTATGATAGAACAGTTGTTTTAACTGAAAGAGCTTTACATGTTTTAAAATGATACAAACATCATTAGAAACTCAACAAAGTTAGTCTAAAAGTTAAATCTGGTCCTCTGGACATTCAAAAAAAACAAAACAAAGCAAAACAACAAAAAAATGTAGAAACGTTTCGTCTCTCATTCGAGAGACTTCCTCAGTCTGAGGAGCTGTATTCAGCACAGTCTCTTAAATAGCACCTACTCAGAGTGGATCAACCAGTTTGCTGCTGACAACCAAAACCAGCTGATCACATGGTCAAGAAGGACCATCAGCCTAACAATGGATCATTAGCACACTGATGGCTGTTTACTGTTCACAGAGGGCTGAGTGATACTAGCAATCACAGCATTGTAAGAGGGGGACAGTTGAACCCGTAGGCCTCCACCCCTGTTTAATGATGGACGATTTCTTTTCACAAAGATGGCCTCCTTACTCCGCTCTCAAACCATCGTTCCTCTCTGTCCAGGATGCGAACATCTTCATCCCTGAAAGAGTTACTCAACAAAGTTAGTGTTTCAAACTGGGATGATTAATGTCCAAACTTGTGTTAATCTGAAAACGTGTAATGTTTCACATCATTTGAACACGTTTCGAGACTGCCATGAGCCACTGGACTCATGTTCTTTGTTGAATGTTCAGAAAGTGGGTCAAAATAAAAATTAAAAATAAATACATTCTGACTTAATTAGTTAGATTAGTCTCTTTAGAATGATGTGTTCAATTAATTTTGTAGAGATCTAGCAGAGTGCTGTATGAATGGGTAAATGAGGCACAGATTGTAGAGTAAAGCACTTTGAGTATCTTGAAATAAGATAGAAAGGCGCTATACAAGTACAGTTCATTTACCATTTACTAAATAACTTCAAGCTTCACTTGCCCCAAACACTCACTCAAATACTCCATAAGGTTAGGTTAGGTTTATTGTCCTGTGCAAAATTAACACAAGGTCAACAATGTAATGAAATGCTTAGGACGAGGAGAACCGTCTCGACTCGCCAAAATAAAAGAAAACAACAAGAAATATCAGATCATGCAGCAAAAATACTTAAAACATACTAAACAATATACTACTAACATACTAAAAAAACATGTTAAAAATACTACTAACATACTAAGAAAAACGTATTAAAATACTTCTAACATACTAAGAAAAACATATTAAAATACTACTAACATACTAAGAAAAACATTAAAAATACTACTAAAATACTAAGAAAAGCATTTAAAAAATACTTCTAACATACTAAGAAAAACATTAAAAACACTACTAAAATACTAAGAA